CTTACTTGTTACCACATACACATAAACTGTTACCTCAGCTTCACAAAGATATGATGTCATAGTAAAGAATGCAGAATGATCTAATGTTTAAACTCTGACTATTTTAAACTAGTAGTTATATCTATCAGAAGTTGAGTACCGCAACATTAAGGCACCTCCATCAGTTCAGTGTGGCACCCTGGGGTACCTTGTCACACAGTTTGGGACATAGAGTTTTTATACAGCCCACTGTTGTTTTACCCACCATCAGAACCTGCATTTGAATTATGTTCTTGACTATGTACAATCCACTGGAATCTCAACAAACACCCTCACCACTGTACTCCTGCAACTCAGCACCTTAACACACTTAACAAAGTGTAATCTACTTCACATTCTGAATCACAGAATCAAACGTGGGCTTGACAGCACGCGAGCCAGGATATTGGGTGGCACTGGTAGCAGAGATTCATATTGAAAGTAGGAGACACCATACTTTTATATGTATAATTCCCCAACCAGTAAGACACTTTTTTTGTGTTTTCAATTTGCTTGGTATTACACAATGCAATAAAAGTAACTCAATACAGTTTGTGGTTGTTTTCAGACAGCTGAGTAAGGGCCTGAGTATTAACAGCTGTCAAATGAGTCTCCTCTGCTCTCCGCCCACCCCACCCCCATTCCCACCAGACTAGTCCTTGAAGGATCCAATCAGTGAAAAGTCAGAATGTCAAAGAAGAAGCCCAGAGCAGGTAATATGACAAACGGATGTTGGTCTTAAGGAAGCTGACTTAGCTATTAATGCACAAAACAGTCTGAAAAGATTTCGTGATGCAAGCTGACTTCTGTCTAGACAGAGAAGGGGGTGTAAAACATATGAGACAGATACAACACAGTAGTGACAAGAAAAACCTGTTTCAGTTGCACAAATGTATAGGGAGGGAATTGGCTAGTTTCTTCTTTATCTAAATATCTAATCCCTAGTGGCGCTATATCTAGGTACTAGCGAATTTCAGTTTTATTTCTAGGGCTTTAAAACATCTTACACATAAATAAGAAATGGGAGGATAGTGAAGAGAAGAAAAAAAGAGATAAAAAGAATGAGGGAAATACAGAAAGAGAGGGAGGGAAGGATGGAGTGGGGAGAAAGAGAGAAGGGAGAGAGGGAGAGAGGGTGAGAGGAAGGGAGAGAGGGACGAAAGGAAGGAGGGGGGGAGGAAGGGAAAGAGGGAGGGAGGGACGGGGAAGGGAAGGGGGGAGGAAGGAAGGAAGGGAAAGAGGGAGGGAGGGATGGGGGGGGGAGAGAGAGAGAGAGAGAGAGAGAGAGATTGACTGAACCCTAGCCAACAAGGAGAGAGCAAGAGTGAATATGTGAGAGGAAGAGAAGAGAGGATAATAAAATCCAAATGCTTAAATATGTTCCTGAATTTCAAAGGCTATTCATGTTTTAGCATTTGGAAAACATCACTGACCTAGTCCTATAAAATTTATCTCTTGTCTCAGATGGAGTGTAGTCACGTCTGTTTTTCTCCTTTCCACCTAACAGTGGCTAAAAACTCAGCTATCAGGGAAGCCAGTTCCTACATATATTTTACATAGTTGAATAGTTCAGTGGTCTACTGGATATCACAGTCCATCAGGTCATTTAAGGAAAGTAAACGGTTCAATCTGTATTTTGTTCTTCCCTGACAAAGCCAAGGGTCAACTTCAAGGTCAAGGTAAGGAAAACATCTGGCTACTAGTCTTAAGAATCATGATCTTACCTAGTTGTGTCAGGCATGCCAAAACATTGTTTAAAGACAAATATGTTTCAACATTCGCTTGTCCTGAGGTTCTTACTCATGACAACTCACATAAATAGTGACTGGAACAGTCAATCATGTGTTTAAAGTATTTTTGCTGTTGTTTAAAAAATGTGATCATGGATTTAGCACTACATGCCAGTTTCAGGGTTCCTGAAGCAGAGCATTTTAATGTTCCACTATAAAAAGGAAAGGAGCAATTCTAATAGTGTGTGGTAAATACAATGGTGGCGAAATTATCTAAGGTCAGGGTAAAGTAGTTATTATAATATACTTTTTTTACTGTATGGACAGATTTGCTTAAAATATTTTTCCTACCAAGAAACATTTGTTTTAAGCAAATACTATTATTGTGGTTGGAATGGAGGCGTCTGTTTTCTTAAATGCTTTCAGATCTAACAAAAGGGAAAAGAAAAATAAGAAAATTCCATTAACAAGGGGAGGAGGAACTGCTTTATACATTACTAGGACATGCAGTTTAAAAGGAAGGTCTTCCATAGCCCTTTTCAAGCTTTGGCCACGTTTCACCAAAAGGCATTTCAGTAAGTTCTAGAGGTCATATTATTCCAGGAAGCTATTGACAACTAATTTCATTACACAATTCATGATCAAAACTATATTCTAGAAGCAAAACAGCAATTCACACCTGAAACAGGAGTGTATATGGTATGAGGAAAGGGAGAACAGGTGGAGGACGGGGGTGGTAGGGGATGCTCCTATCTCTCTCCTCGCCCAAATTTATTCCTTCTTAGCCAGTATATTGAGTGTTTTCAACTTTTAAACATGTACATACTCAAAAACTAAACTATTTCTAACAAGGATTTTGAATTTTTGGATGATGGTTAGTTTATGATTTCCAAACACAGATCATGGGAGATATTTCATAAATCATCACCACCTCTGAAGGTGAGGACAATGGATAACAACATGATGAAAAGAGCTGCATGAATTCACTCAGAATCCAAAGCCACAACTTCAAAAGCAGTCCTAATCTGTTCCAGTAATCCTATATAATACAAGCCCAGTGACCGAAGCGGTGGAATGACCTTTACGACCAGTATGACCAGAACGACCGCGGCCCCTCACCCCTGCTGGCCCACCCCCCAGTAGGGATCCCCACCCCGATCTGGGGCCCCCATCAGGGCAGGCCGGCAGGTCCCCACCCGTGCACTGGGCCTCTATCCTATATAATAAAAGGCTAATATGCAAATTGACTGAACAGTGGAATGATGGTCACTATGACGTGCACTGACCACCAGGGGGCAGATGCTCAACATAGCAGCTGCCCCCTGGTGGTCAGTGCGCTCCCACAGGGGGAGCGCTGCTCAGCCAGAAGCTGGGCTCACACCTGGCAAGCACAGTGGGGTGGCGGGAGCCTCTCCTGCCTCCTTGGCAGCACTAAGGATGTCCGACTGCTGGCTTAGGCCTGCTCCCCATGCGAAGTGGGCCTAAGCTGTCAGTCGGACATCTCCCAAGGGCTCCTGGACTGCGAGAGGGTGCAGGCTGGGCTGAGGGATGCCTCGAGTGCAAGAATTTTATGCATTGGGCCTCTAGTGTTTTTAGAATTTTTGTCCCAAGATTTTAGTTTTATTTGTACGTAAAGCATCAGAAGACAAACTGCTCCATATGATTTCATAGATTTGTTCATATAAACTTTCTTGCAGATAAAAGATATATTTGGTACCTACTTGCTCTCTCTCATTCTTTCTCTCTCTCCCTCAGTAGTAAATGCAAAAGATATGCCCTAACTCCCAATAGGATTCCCATATTAGCTCATGCAGTAGATTGAGTCTCAGAAGTGTCATGTATCAGGGAACCAACATTATGCCATTCTATACAAAGACGTATCACAGACAAAACACAAAGCTGTGTATTTCCATGGTTTGGAAGGGGACTACAGTATTTGATGTGGTGATGACACATTTAAGTGGGGTGACGCGCTCTAGTTGTAACGCATGACAAGAAGGCAGCAGATCAACTCCAGCTGTTACCCAAGGATGCTACTCAGCATCCCTTAAACTATGGATCCTCACAGGATCCCACTCTGCTTTCAATGACCCAATACTCAGAAGTGAGAGGTCCAGGGCTGAGCACAGTAATGTGAAATGCAGTAGCCCACAGAAAACTTTTGAGCTCTCAAAGAAGGGGCAGACTCAGGTCAGGGATCCTGAGGGAGGAAGGATCTGCCTGATGCTGAAGCAGAGGTACACATGTGACTGTCTACCCCAGTGATGGCGAACCTATGACACGTGTGTCAGAGGTGACATGCAAACTCATTTTTTTGGTTGATTTTTCTTTGTTAAATGGCACTTAAATATATAAAATAAATATCAAAAATATAAATCTTTGTTTTACTATGGTTGCAAAGATCAAAAAATTTCTATATGTGACACGGCACCAAAGTTAGGTTTTTTCAAAATGCCGACACGCCAAGCTCAAAAGGTTCGCCATCACTGGTCTACCCTATAGCAAGGGGTAAAAGCAGTGACTTTGCTGATGAGAAAAGTACCAAAGAAAGGGGTCCCAGGGAGGCTGTCCTATGAAACAGCTCGGCAAATGTTTCTGTGCCCTTTACAAAGATCATGTTAGCCCATGAAGAGTCAAAAATATAAAAAAAGTCTGAGGCCAGAGAAAAGTTGGACCCGATGCTTCTGGGTTACATAGCACTCAGATGAGGTCAAATGACCCGGTAATTAAACGAGATGCTAGGGCAAGATGACTTTCTTCATGCTTGGAGGAGAGTAACATTTTATGGGTTGGGGCACATAAATGAGAAATGCCTGGCGGTCCACGCTGCTTCTACCTCGGGGCTGCTCTCATGCGAGACACTTCTCCGCCGGGGAGTCTGGCTGCTGGCGGGTTTTGGTCCGCAGAAGTATGCAGCAGGCCGGTCTTGTCTACTGGAGTTTCAGGAGGATGTTTTTTCAACATGAGCTTAGTGGGCTTTCGGAGTCTAAAGGACTATATTTTAAAAAGCCTTAAGTCACTGAGCTTGACCTTCTTGTCTGAATGGAACTTAATGTTTTACTAATAAAGAAGTTGATGTAAAATGCAGTGTGCAGACCCCACGATAAAGAAGATATTGTCTTTAAGGGGGTTTCACATTTCCAGGGAACTGCAAAAACATTGTTCTGCTTATGGCTTTGAAACGGACACAAAGAACCATTGAAACCCCAAAGATACATTACCAAAGGGGAAAAAACAGAAAAAGCTTCTTACCAGGTTCAGCGGTAGATCGAGGTTCTGTTTGCCACATGAGAAAAAATAAAGAAAAATGTTTTATTAGAATAGGGTTCCATTAATAATACACCTACCTTTCTTTTCCTATTACCTAGTCTAGGGCATGTCTGCCAAAATGTTATAGACAAACTCCATACCATCAAAGCAATAAAGTGATAGATCAATTTATATTTCTACAAATACAAAAACTCAAATTCCAGTAACAGCTTACACTAGGGAGTTATTTAAACTGCGGTTCATAGAAGGTCTTATAGGAGCTTGTAAGCCTCTTAAAATTATTTGCCCAACTTTGAGTTCAAACGTATGTCTTTTTTTTTTTTTTTTTTTGAGGAAAGAACATACAACTTTCATCAGAGTTTCAAAAGGGTCCGTCAGTGAGCACTCAAGCTTTAATTTACTGAACTCCTCACATTTGCAGAGTATCTGGTCTCACTCTCTTTGAAAACAGCAGTCAGTTCATCTAAATGACTAAACCCTTGCCCTAGCCAGTTTGGCTCATTGAGTAGAGCCTTGGCCTACAGACTGAAGGGTCCTGGGTTCGGTTCCGGTCAAGGGCACATACCTTGGTTGCAGGCTCCCGGCCCTGATCAGGGGCAAGTGGAAGGCAACTAATTTAATTCATGTGTCTCTCTCACATCGGTGTTTCTCTCTGTCTCTCCCTCTCCCTTTCACTCTCTCTAAAAATCAATGGAAAAATATCCTGGGGTGAGGATTATAAATAAATAAATAAATAAATAAATAAATAAATAAATAAATAAAATAAAATAAAATAAAATAAAATAAAATAAATGGCTAAGCCCTTGTTCTTCCTGGAGCTTGAGAGAAGACGGCAGTTGGATTTGGGAGATGGGGCACCTCTCCTTACTTTTCTGTAGAATTCGGAAGTCTGGAGAGTCCTGGATCTCACTCCCTTGTCGGAACCACTTGACCTGCAGAGGGGGTGCTCCTCGCACCCGGCACTCCAGCACCACCACCCGGCCCTCGGAGGCCACTATGTTTTGCAGTTCCTGAAATTCGAGAAAAAGATCGACCATCAACTTTGGTGTGTTTTTACACAATCTCACAATAGAGAATACAACTTCCAAATCTCAAAGAGGGGAAAAAAAAAACCCCATAAAACTTGCATCATAAAAGAATTATCACTGACTCAGATGAGGATAAACAGCTTTAAATCCATTCATTATCATCAGCTTTTCAAAATCTCCATACAATGAAATTAGCATGGTTCACCCCTAGGCCTGTTTTAGAAATGTTGGACCGGTCTGCAAATGTATGAACTCTTTTGTACTTAGGGAACGTTATGGTGACAACTGTTACCTTTCTTTATCTACATTTAAGAGTAAGCTGGTAGGAATGCATACTTCGTAAAACAATCACACACCCTATGAATGTAGATTCCTATGGAAACCAGACAGGATGAGGAAAAAAAAGACACACATTCGTTTTCCCGTGCTCCAACCTTTTCATGTACTCCCCCGCCATCTCTGCCCAACTGGTTCCCTATGTCAGGTTGATTAAGATGAGGGGCTTAGGTATTTTCTCATTTTGACGTGCTGAGTAAAATGTTTAAAAATGCAGCCTTTTTCTCTTCTTGACCTTCAGTTCCTCCCCCTTACTATTACCCTTGCAGCTCCCCCACCCACTCCAACTCCAGACCAATAAATTTTTACAATCCAACAGATCAGAGATTAATTTGGCTTCACAGAGACAAAGAGGTAAAGCTTTTATATACTTGTTATTAAATATCAAAAGATTAATATTTCCCTTACATATGACCTCTCTTTACCTTCCTCCTCCTGGATTACTTAGCAATGGGGCACACTTACATTTTTGACATTTAAACTTCTGACTAAAGAGCATTGGCTCTGATATAGTCCGTAGAACCCGTAATATAATTTAAATACAATAAAGTAGTTCACCTATACATGGGCCAAAAGCAAATACATTCAACATGAGGAAGTGGGTGTGTGTGTGTGTTTTGTTAGTTTTGTTAGTTTAGCTTTTAAATTATTTGAAAACACAACAAATCGCATGCTGGGAAAAACATATCCTGTAGCAACTGGCCTTCGGTGCTAAAGGACTATGGAAATTCTCAAAGTCATGCTGTTGGCAAAAGAACTGAAAAAGTCTAAAGTGAAGTCTGAGAAGACATTTGATAAGCATGCTGGTGGTTAAGAATGTCTTCAACGGAAAATGTTAAGATTATTAGCTATTTCTGATCGCATTCTTTCTCCCACCTGATTTTTACTTGTAGAACATTTCTGGTTTTAGATTGACTGTTACTTTCTGGTTGGGTCCAGAAACAGCTAACAGAGTATACCATCTCAGGAAAGTGTGGCTCGCGGGGCTCAGCTGGTGTGGATTAATCACACCCCCCCCCATCCTCCGGGCTTGTCCAGGAAGCCATTCATAGGAGATTACAAGCGGTACCCAAATATTTTTCATGTGTGAGCTTACGGACACCAAAGGAGACTCTGATTTATCCCTAGGACTGTGTGTTTTGTTTGAACGTTAGAAAGTCAGAGATGTAGGAAACGGGATGGGTGGATGCCAAGGACCTTAAGCAGTCAAAATGCCATCGTTATTCCAAGATTACAATTTGGCTCCTCCTGGAGCAAACGTTTTTATCTTGGCAAAAGCCCCAGCTAAACACAGCTAGCCATTAGGAGAACTCGCAGGAGCATAAAGCAGAGTCCTGAGGAAGACGAGACCCAACCTTTAAGGTTGCACTTGGGAATCTGGATCATCCATTCAGGATAGAATTTGGGATCTCTGGTGTTTTAGGGTCCATAGAGGGCATCTCTGGACATACATCAAGTCCACGTGAGACTGTGATTCCTTTAGGGGATTTATGTGGGAAGAAATGCCATGCAGAGCTAGTTGCTCTCCTGGCCTCATATGTGTCTCTGCTACTCAGGCCCACAGCCACACCAGTTCTGTGGCTTCAGCTAAGCACGGTGGCCCAAAGGCAGAGGTGCTGGCTGTGAACCCAGGGGATGTTTCCCAGAGCAGTAGGAGAATACAGAAGGAGGCCCGCCACTGGACTGGCAAAGCCCACCTGCTGTCTGCTGTCAACCATCACGCCCAAAAGAAAGCTGAAGAAGAAGCCACTGTCAACAAAGCAAAGTTGGCTTGAGTTCTAGACATGGGCAGATTTAGTTTCTAAACTGCCTCTCCAATAATCACAGCCCAGGCCCACGAGGAACCCTGCAAAGCAGGGAGAGACACTGCACAAACGGCAAAGGGCAAAGGGCAAGAAAAGCAGATACAAACAAGGAACGAAACAAAGGTGCAGAAAACAGATGGTCCCCAGTCTAGACACAGGAAGTGGAGTCCCTGGAGATGCCCAGTGAGGTGTATTCTCAGCTTCCTGTTACTCTACAGTTTGAGATTTTTTTTAAAAAGCAACCTCAATAAAAATGTAGAATTTTGTTTTTCTTTTCATGAAGCTGACATAGAATGCTGCACGGTTCTCTTTCTGGAAAGAGGGAAACAACACTAATAGAATGTCTGTGTCTCAGGGGCTGGATCACACAGGACAGTGTTGTGTCTAGTGTTTGAGGATTTCCCCCAGGGCCCGGGAGGAATTCGGTAACATCTCCACCTGCCAGGCCTCTGTGGCGAAGGAAAGCAAAATCTTCCAACCTCCTTTCTTCCCCTGAGGCCACCAGCATGGACTTTGTTTGCTTAAACCAAGAGGTGTGCTGAGCCCTGATACCCTCAAATCAACCATGTCCCAGGCAATAATCCATCAGGAAACACGGACTTTCTGGGGATGCTCTCGTAAAGCTGCTTGTGGAAAGCTCTTAAACGGCATATAAATGTGGATGTCCACCCTCCACAGACGTTTCTTGTTCTAAGCATCAAAGGACGACTTCACTGGCTGTTTACAGTGACACCGGTTTACATGACCACCTCCCCTCCCCCCCCTTTTTTGGTAGTTTATCCAGGAGGGGACTTTCAAAGCGGTTGCCAGCTATTATCATTTGTTTCTGTGTCCTACAGTAAATGGTCTGTTTATGAAAAGATCTTTAATAAAGCTGGATGCAGGCTGGCTTAGGAGAAAAAAAAATCATTCCCTATATGAAGAAAATGAAAATGCTCTTCTCTACCGCCTCACAGAAGTTTTATAGATTTGCTTGTCACATTTGTCTTTAGTTTACTTGGAACTGAGTTTTGTGAAAAGTGTGAGGTAGAAAGCGAGTTTAATATTTTTCACCTCTGCTGAAGAATTCATTCTTTACCCCATGGTCGGCAGGTTTCCATCGGTATTGGAGTGGGCTCTATTCTGACTACTCGTCACTCTGTCTAGCCTTGTGCCAGCTTCATACTATCCTCCTCGTCTACATTTAGGAAGTTGTGAGTCCCAAAGGGCAAATCTCACCCCGTCCATAATAACCTTATTTTTCTTCTTCAGGAGTGTGTCTTGGCTATTCTTAGTCATTTTTTGCTTCCACCAAAGTTTTAGAATCCAATTGCAAAATTCAGTATTAAACAAACAAATACAAGAAACCCACTGGAATTTTAGTAGATTTGCATTACATTTATAGATTAGTTTGGGAGTCATGACTTCTTTAGCCTACCAGTCCACAGGCCTGGCATGATCTCTCCATTTAAGGTGGGGGAGAGGGAGAGGGAGAAGAAATGCTACTTGGAACCATTTCTGAGTTGAGCAGTTGTCCAATGAAATGGGTGTCATTCACCTTGGCAATGCAAAACACCAACTTAGAACTGAAAGTCATTAAAAAAATTTCTATAAAGCTAGCTGGTTTTCTCAAACAATATCTTAGACGGAATTTTGTCTCTTTTTTTTTCTGTCTTGGCTTTCCCACTCTACTTTGACCTCTATCAGGCCCCTGACCATGCCCACATTTCTCGGATCCTTTATAACAGCGGTTCTCAACCTGTGGGTCGCGACCCCTTTGGGGGTCGAACGACCCTTTCACAGGGGTCGCCTAAGACCATCAGAAAACACATATATAATTACATATTGTTTTTGTGGTTAATCACTATGCTTTAATTATGTTCATTTGTAACAATGAAAATACATCCTGCATATCAGATATTTATTTACGATTCATAACAGTAGCAAAATTACAGTTATGAAGTAGCAACGAAAATAATTTTATGGTTGGGGGGGTCACCACAACATGAGGAACTATATTAAAGGGTCGCGGCATTAGGAAGGTTGAGAACCACTGCTTTATAAGATTATAGTCACATAGCCCTTGTTCAGTAAATATCTACTGAGTCCCAAAGGTAACCATGATAATCAATCTACTGATCTGTTCCTTTACTGTTTAAAGATGCTGCACAAAGCCACATGCGAGTGGAATTTAAGCACCAAAGCAAATACAGAGAATGAAACTTGCAGATGTCAGACCTTTGTAAAAACAGGAGGAAAGTAGGCAGAAGTGGTTCCATCCGGTCTGCAGAGATACGAGGTTGGACTGTGAACCTGGAAAAGCAGAGACACATGGATCAAATTCTAAATATATAAATTGCTGAAAAGATGGACTCACTAGGAAGGTCGCTCCACATGAATGAAACGAGTGAATGAAAGTCTCTCCATATATCATTTTGCTGATCTACTCTTACAGCACAGACACTGTCTGCTTCCTCATTGCACATCTGTTACTCTTCTCTATTCAAAAGGACATTCAAGGCAAGAGTCCCCTGGTTCCTTAGGGATCCACGGAGTTTTAAATGCTATTACCAAATGGATTACTGTGTGGGACTTCCACAGGGGTCTTTTTAAAAGCTCTTACAGACATTATATTTATTTTTTAAAAAATATAGTCTGGATTCATTGAATCAAAAGCACAAGTTACTGGCAATGGAAGATAAATAACCAAACATCTACCTCTCTTATTTTTAACTTATATTCCTTTTTGGTACAGATAAGGATTATAGGAAATGAAGAAAAATATATCCTTTTTTTTCTTTTTTTAAAAATATATTTTTATTGATTTCAGAGAGGAAGAGAGAAGGAGAGAGAGATAGAAAAATCAATGATGAGAGAGAATCATTGATCAGCTGCCTCCTGCATGCCTCCTACTGGGGATTGAGCCTGCAACCCAGGCATGTGCCCTTGGCCGGAATCAAAACCAGGACCCTTCAGTCTGCATGCCGATGTTCTATCCACTGAACCAAACCAGCTAGGGCTATACTTTTTTTATTGATGTGCAAAAAACAAAGGTGCTGAAACACTTACTGAATGGTGCTCTTCAGGGTAGTGAATGGAAAATATTTCTTTGTGCACAGTCATGTATTTTCAAACACTCTAGATTCATTCACTTCTACATAAGTGGTTCGTAGATTTTTAACCGAAGATATTGGTGATCTGGTATTATATGCCCAAATATGCCATCAGACATCATGGAGAATGCTGGCAGAGTGCTAGGATGGTGGTAATGAGCCTTACTCATTATCCACGTAAGACTGTTTATAGGCTTGTTATTCAGGAGATCTAAGTCTCACTTTTCACTTTTTTTTATGTGCAAAGAATATATGAACACTCATACAGTATTTAGTTTGTGCCAGGCACTGTTCTAAGTGTTATATGGAAATTAACTCAATGAATCCTCATGACCATCCTTTGAGATAGATGGCATTATTACCTTCAATTTATGGGTAAAAAAAATAGGCAAAGAAAGGTTATATTACTCGTTCAAGATATCTTAGCTAGTAAGTGGTAGAACTGGGATTCAAACCCAGGCAGTATGAATTCAGGGCATTAACCTTTACGTCACTTTGCCTGCAATAAAGCAATGGCGTTTCTCTGAGCACTTCATTCTCCCAACTGTGCAAATGGGATATATTACCTCCCATTCAGTGTTCCTGTAAAATTTAAACCATTTAAAATGTACAGCTTACATTATTATGACACCTACTCATTTAGATGCATGTGTGTCTTTCTGCTTTTAGGCTTCCCTGTTGTACCTTAATACAGCCTATCATCTCTGAGAAGTGTTTCATGTGTATATTTCCCGTTTCCCATGCAGTGTATAAACTGGGAATGGAGCTGGTGATATGTATTTTTTTCTGTTGTGAAATGCCCAGCACAGTGCAAAGCATTCATTAAATATGTAAAGATCAAACATAAAAAAAAACCTTACTGATTTAATCAGAAATATTTCTATAAATTCCACTCTAGTTTAGGGGTTTAAAGGAAATACCTACTATATATGCCACTTCCAAGTAACTTATATTGATGAGTTCTTTTCAATTCAAAGGTCTTTTCTCTAGTGCCTGCATATTCTACATATCACAGAGTATATGTCACACACCTGTAATTACTAAAATACCTCTGAGTGCCTGATAGATAGAGGGCATGTAATCCTCACAAAACATACTTAACAGACATGTAAGGAATGAGCTTACAGTTCAGGGTACTGGGGGAAGCCTTTATGAGTGTTGTATTTAAAGGTGATCATCATAGCACAAAAGCAAAGTAACATACATTTGATTTAGAGGCGTTCAGATTTTAATATTGTTACTTAACAAATTCATGTTGTTTGTGTTTGCAAAATAAACCCATTATAATTTCTTTCCAGTCATTAGTATTGTTATTCTTCCCTGGATAAAGCAGTCTGACAACAAAATAAAAGAAAGATAAAAATGCATGGTGAAGTCAAATTTGAATTTTTTTTCTTATTATCTGTTTAGTGCTTAGCGGGTGACAATGAATACCTGTGTTGGTATGTAGACTTCTCTTGTCTACTCATTTGTTTAAATGAAATAATAAATTTAGCTGAAAGGAAGAGAGCATATATGAGGGGGAATAATCAAATAGTTGTAGATAAAACAGATATAATTTTAGAAGATTATTGGCTACTAAAAAGGGAAGTTCCAATGGAAATGTGGATGCTGACTGACTGATGGTGTGGCTTTGGTTAAATATTATTTTTAGGGGATTAAAAGGAAGACCTTTACCTAGCATTTTCTTTTCTCCCTGTTGTATTTCCACTTAGAAACTACTTCAAGGTGCAGACTAGTAAAATGAAAGCTATATTCTTTAAACCAAGAAGCCTGCTAATGAGTTCCACTCCCTGTGGGCCCTGGTCCTGGGCACACTGACCTGCTGAACAGGGACAGATAGTGGCTGGATCACAGCTGTGGTCACTCCTGTCTTTGGAGATGATGATCCTATTGTCAGGGAAACGGACGTTGTTTTCTTCTGAGCCCTGGAAAATAGGGAGGCAAGTGTTCAGTTGGAATTTTTTTAAAAAGCAGGAATTACTCTTTAAATCATTTCCACAGAATAGCCCAGTTTCTTTTTGTGTACTTAATCCACTTTAACTGCTAAGTGCTTGAGAAATGGGAAGGGCTACAATAGTTTCGGCCAGTATATGCATAGAATGAACCTTATAGATATTAGCAAAATAAACGCACCAATAGAAGAAGAGTAGCTGTATGTAACACAGCCATCATCAGTGAACCTAAGGTGTTGAACTTGAGAATCCGAAAAGGCAATGCTTAGAAAAAGTCTAATCTTCAGGAGTAGGAAGATATTTGAAATCTTTAGGGTTAGGGTTCTATATTTAATTCAAAGTTTTGGCTATTTTAAGCCTAGCAGCTGTTCTTTGTTCTGGTTCTAATTTTGTGAAGTTGAGAGTATCTTAAAACTTTTGTCTTTTCTTAGTGCATACAAGTTAGTGAGGTGTAGACAAAGGTTAAGAATTGGTTTCTAGACCAAGTTTTGTGAAGTTGCTGGCTGTGGAATCCTAAGCGAGCCATGTAACTTCACTCAACCTGACCCTTATCTGAAATAAGAGGTGGTAGAGTATATATTAAGGCCCCTTTAGCATTAGTATTTGGTGACAATTTGATATCGAATGGATATAATTGTTATGTATATACCAGCAGATCATTATAATTTAATACTGTCTCAATATTCATAGAGTTTTCTACAAAACCGTGGCAGAATTTATTTGATTTTTTTTGCGAAATAATTAAGATATTAACATTTTACTAAGAATCCATGTCTTTGTAGGAAGAACTAAATAAATTTTAAGATTTTCATGACAAGATCTAGCTAGAAATAGACTTTATTTAAATGGAAACACATTGCTGGCCTAGTGAGATATTTTCCAATTATAAATACATTGATCCTCATTTATTTTTAATAGTGATTTAATACATTTTCTCTCAACATGACTGCTCTTGTCATAAATTTATAACTGGCTAGTTGTCTTTGAAACTAACATTATCTATGGTTAGATTTTGGCATATCGATGATGAAATGCAGACTTCAAAGTTCAAATTCATAAGTTTAAAATGACATTCCAAGTTCAAGTATTTGATCTTTGATTGACATCAGTTGACCTTTTTCTTGAAAACACAACACGGGTAGCTTCCTACCCCAATTCTGCTGCCGTTCTGTGCTATATAATTGATGAAATCGTAAGTACTTACTGTGGCATTGCTCCAGGTTTCGATATGAAAGCTAAACTTTCACTGTCAGAATCTGTCGAACTGGTACCTAGGAGAGTTACAAATAATTATAAAGTTAAGATGCAATTAGTATCTATAATTGCTTCAAAGAGTAATGTTCTTTATTTTTAAACAATATCATAGTCTTATTTTGAAATAGAGAATGGTTCAGACCATTTTTACTTGGACTGCATCTCCAGAAAATCACTTTTTTAAAAAAAGAACTATGAAAAGCTTTCTTCAAAGAAACATATTTTTAATGCCAGATTTATTATTAATTTAATTTTTATCTCTTTGGCCATTACAACCATACTTTTAAATGGCTTATAAACTATGAAATAAATTTGAGTGTGGCTGTGAGCAAAACAGTCATGGTTTCAAACTTTAACCCTCTCCCAAGAGATTTCATGGCATGAATTATGTCTTCCTTACTCTTTAATTAGGAAATGCTTTCTGCTTCTTAATCTGAAGTGTGACAGTGGCTTCATTCTTGAATAAAAGGGTCTCTGACTTTGGATCATGCCTTCCCAAATTCATTTGTGTCATTACTGTTTTTGAGTTAAGGGTCAGATTTTTAGTCAAAATGCATACATTTTCATGCACATATTTTGTGATAAGAGATTTTACGTGACATTTAAAATAACTGTGATGGTTTAGAAGTATATTCTTGATATTTCCTTTATATAACCTGAGTTATTTAAATTATTTATTTTAAACTATTTTAATGTAAAATAATACATGCTTACAGAAAATTAACCAAATATCACAGAATTGTGTGATATTGCAGGAAAAACCTGTTGGTACCTTCCCTAATGCCATTCTGTATATGTTAAGAGTTTGGTGTGTATTTTTCAGATAAATTTGATGTGTCAACACACATATATTTACGTACACATTTATACAAATGGAATCATACTACATGTACTCTTTGCAATTGGTTATTTTTGCCTATCAATACATTCAGAACAGATACATTTACTTACTTCTCTGGGATGGCTGCCTAAGTGTTCCTTCCTGTGACTAAGATATGTTTTTCCAGCCTTTGATTGATGTGGAAACAATCACATTTAGGTAACTCTGCTGGAATGTTTGCTGTCCCTTCCTACTAATTCTACAACTACCACCTGGCTGAGACTTTCTTCACCTCGTTCCTGGACTACTGCAATCGTCTTCTCTTGTTCCCCATCTCTCTCCCTCTCAAATCTGTCTTCAACCTCTATGAGATTAGTGTTCCTATCTTCCAGAACTTCCTGGACTTCCACATCACATAACCCTGATCCAGAGAGTTGAGTTGAACATGATCTCTGGTGTATAGCCCACTAAGTAATGGGAAAACCACAGTGAAGAAAACCACACACACACACACCTGCCTTTGCAGAGATTCCATTCTTTTGAGAACATACACAATAGACAAGGTAAATAAATAACATGGTATGGTGGTGAGAGATATAAAAAACATGTCGCAGGGTGGGGTGTTGGGAGCAATGGGAATGCAGTGGGAGCGATATTAAGCAGAGTGGCGAGGACGGTGTCACCGAGCTGGGGACTTTAAATAGATGAACATCCAGTGTTGGTACCTTTAGTTATATTACTTATTCCTATAGGAAACGCCTACCCAGTCATTTCTGGATATTCTATCTTTTAAGATCAGCCTACTCATTTTTTAAAAAATATATTTTATTGATTTTTTTACAGAGAGGAAGGGAGAGAGATAGAGAGTTAGAAACATCGATGAGAAACATCGATCAGCTGCCTCCTGCACACCTCCTACTGGGGATGTGGCCACAACCAAGGTACATGCCCTTGACTGGAATTGAACCTGGGACCTTTCAGTACGCAGGCCAACGCTCTATCCACTGAGCCAAACCGGTTAGGGCTACTCATTTTTCTGTGCTCTGTCTTCTCTGGACTCCTACTGTTCTTGTTTACATTACTCTCATCACTTATTACATCGCATCTGCTAGAAAGTTGTAAGTTCTTTGGGAATTGAAGTGGTGTTTTGAAGGGAACTACCAATTCTTCAGTACTTATTATTTGCCTGGCTGTCTGCTAGACACCTCATAGCATTTAATTATTATAATAATGAACTTCACTACGAGGAGAGTGAGATGATTACAGATAAGAAAACGGAGGAACCAGGAGCTTAGGTAATTTGCATAAGGTCACATAACTAGGAAGCAGTGGTGGCATGGCCCGTTCCATCCGACCTCCATGTACTGAGCATGTCCCATTCCTCGGAGGGCTCAGCTTCATGGCTTGCTCATGGTAGGCCTTTAACTTCTGATGGAGTGAATGGAATTAAGGAATTGCAAGGTTTGTGTGGGGAGAGGCAGTAGACTTTGCAACCAGAGAAGAGCAGCATCTTCGGGTGATGGGTGGCAATGGTGGGAGGCAAGTCTAGAAGCGCAGGGTGGAATACCAGGGCCAAAGCGTTTGGACTGTACATCTAGGTACTGAGTGGTGACTGGGAAAATGAACTGTGCAGGATGAACTGAGGGAGAAGGGAAGAGGGGGGAAGCAGAGCAAAGCAAACAGCAAACCATGTACCAAGTAGGTGACAGACAAGGAGAAAGTTTGATGAGGAGGTAGAAGCTGAGCAGGGAAACTGAGAAAAAACCAGCAGGCTTGGTTGTCAGAAAGTCATGGGAACCTGACCCAGATCAACTGCACTGGAGGCATGAGCGTGTTACAGAGAGGCCCGGCAAAAGCCCCACGGGAGCTATCACAGTCACTCTCAAAGTGGCCTGAAATTGGGGAGAGAAATGGCTATTTTTCATATAATTCTGAACATTTAAATCATTTTTTTTAAAGTTTCATCTGATTATCTCTATTTAGAAATACATTCTTATTCTCATTCTTTTTTAACTACCTTTTTCTATCTGATTTTCAGAGAAACATAAAAGACCAAAAAGGGTAGTGTCCCCTGGTAATACATTCGCTAGTTTCGCACACCTGCCCAACCCTTGTGAAACCTCAATGTCACCTTCTGTCTCAGGTGTCAGAGCAGCTCTTGCAGATGGTAGCAGATCAGATCTCCCCATCCGTGCCAGCCGTTCCCTCCCCTCCCCGCAGGCACCTTCCCTCCCTCCCTCTCCTGTCTCCTGCCTGAGTCATCTGCTTTGCACCTGCCGGTCAGGAAACACCACTCCTGTCTCAGGTTAACATTTTTCTCTGTATTTATCAAACCATCACGCTCAGTGTTTTCTGTAGGCTCCAATCTGAAGGAGGCACACGTTCCAGCCCTTGCAGTTACTATCTATCTGTGTATCAGATATTTACCTGCTTAAATGCTAACTGTTTCCGTATTGCCTCCCACACAGTACAAAGGAATCAAACACTGTGTTCTCCGCTCGACTCTAGGGATAACGGGCGGGTGGAAGTGTCACCAAAAATGAGCCTCCTCCCTTCACTTTAGAAGGTGTTAACTTTCCACCCTGCCAGCGTGGCTCAGTGGTTGAACATTGACCTATAAACAAGGAGGGGGTCACGGTTTGATTCCTGGTCAAGGCACATGCCCGGGCTGCAGGCTCAAGCTCCAGTGTGGACTTTGCAGGAGGCAGCTGATCAATGATTCTCTCTCATCATTGATGTTCTCTCTCTCCATTCCTTGCCCTTCCTCCCTGAAATCAATAAATATATATTAACAAAAGGCATTACCTTTTCATTTTTAAAACTTCATCAATTTAATACTTCCTTGTAGGAAAAAACCCATACAATGTACAATAGCGAAAATTAAAGAAAAAAAATCATTTGAAATACCACTAACCAGACACTTGGACCACATCCTTCTAAAGTTTATGCTTATGGACATAGAAAAAGAATTAAACATATTTTAAAAAGATGACGCCCTGGCTGGTTTGGCTCACTGGATAGAGCGTCGGCCTGGGGACTGAAGGGTCCCAGGTTCGATTCCGGTCAAGGGCATGTATTTTGGTTGCGGGCACATCCCCAGTAGGGGGTGTGCAGGAGGCAGCTGATCGATGCTTCTCTCTCATTGATGTTTCTAACTCTCTATCCCTATCTCTTCCTCTCTGTAAAAAATCAATAAAATATATTTTAACAAAATAATAATAATAAAAAGTAAGATGACAATCCTATTATACTGCTCAATTATTGTATTTCCTCAATTATTGACATTTAATACAGGTCAATAAATAAATATGTACCTTTATAATTTTCTAGTGGCTGCTTCAAACTCATCTGTGTGAATTCACCATACTTTATTATTCATTAATGGATATATGTATTATTTCCATTTTTAAACATTTCACCAGAAAGGTGTATAAAATAGCAATATAACAAAATTCCCATTTCCCCATATTCATAAAATCACTATTTTAACTTATATTTTTGTCAATCTGGTTTCTTACATGATTTTAAAAAAATGTATACTTCTGTGTATACTTCTGAGTGAAAACAAATTAGATGGAAATCACACAGCTTCAGAAAATAAGAAGTCTTCTTAAAAGCAGATCAACCATTAAAAATATATATATACATACATGCATGTGTGTATTTTTTAAATCCTGAATTTAGTGAATCTCGTCATGAAGTTTATCCTTTTATACATGTTTTGCCTTTCAAAATTTAAGGACTAAATATACTCTGGCCCCATTACTCATTTTTCTCCTCCCTTCTTTCTCAGTTGCTATAATTACCAGCACAGCAATAATCATTCAACAAGTTCAAACAATCTGAGTGTAAATTCTGTTGCCACTGCTTTCTATTTTATGACCTCATGCAAATTATTTAACCTCTTAGTTACTCAATAATATTTTATATAAAAATAGGTTAAATTTTAAAAACCAGGTACAAAAGAGTACACAGTAAAATATACAAATATAGAACATAAGAGTGAAATTACATGTGATTTTTATATTTTCTTATTATGCATATGTTTTAGATTTTTAAAAATGAAAATGTGCTTTTTTTTGGTAATAATAATGATAGCTCACACTATGTACCAGGCACAGCTCTAGGCAATTAACTCATTCAGTCCTTACAACAATCTAATTTTCTCCATGCACAGGCGGAGAAATTGAATTCAGA